CACATCAATGTTATGTACATAGCACATCAATGATTTGTACATAGCACCATCAATGATTTGTACATAGCACATCAATGATTTGTACATAGCACATCAATGATTTGTACATAGCACATCAATGATTTGTACATAGCACATCAATGATTTGTACATAGCACATCAATGATTTGTACATATTACATTAATGATTTGTACATAGCACATCAATGATTTGTACATAGTACATCAATGATTTGTACATAGCACATCAATGATTTGTACATAGTACATCAATGATGTGTATAGTACATAAAACAGCATTATATCCGAGTAACAAATGCATTTATTTGCAAACTCGTATTGAATTGTCGGGTAACACATTTACCGTCAATACTGTATAAATGTTTTAGTGTTGATGTTCCAAATAGTTTCAATACACGAAAATATCTTGTTCAAGTGCAGTTTTGTTGCGACATTTTTGGTTGCAAACTTATTCTGTTTTAAGTCAAATATTAAACTACAAAAAGAGTCAACGAAGATCACATTTAGTAGTAACAGATACTTACTTGACAATTTTATGCAATTTGGGTAATTCTTTTTTATTTAATAAATGTTATTTCCATATGGCTTTGGTACTTTAAGGGTTTTATTACTTAGTTGGAAATTGATTTCATTTATTGATACGTCCTCTCAATATTTGCCTTTGTGACATCTCTTGCTTTTTGTTTGATGCCTTCTGAGTGTCCCTTTTAGCTCAACAGATCCGAAGGCTCAGGGTCAGCTATTAGAATCAAAGAGGGATGTTTCGGTGTCCTTAGTCCGTCGTCATGCGTCAACATAAATCTTCTCTCTGAAACTGCTATAGGCATATTTACTTTAAATTTGGTATGTAGCATCCTTGTGACAGTCACACTTAAATTTGCTCATATCATTTCGACTGGCCCCTTTTAGAGGTCAACATAGCGAGAAAAAATGAAACCTTTAAACATCTTCTACAGAACTAGTTGATGGATGATCACCAATTACACTTTGCCTGTAGCCTTCTTAGGTAGTCTTTTATCAAATTTGCTCATGGGCCCTAAAGCTAAGATTAGAAAACTCTATGCATCTTCTTCTACTGAACTAATAGATGCGTGATCACCAAACTTTTTCTGTCGCATTTTAGGTAGTCTTTTACCAAATTTGCTCATATAAATTCAATTGTCCCCATTAAGGGGCCGCTAAAGCTTTAAAAAAATAAAACTTTAAACATCATTTTCTACTGAACTAATTGATCGATGATCACCATTTTTTTCTGTAGCATTCTGAGGTAGTCTTTTATCAAATTCGTTTATATTAATTTGATTGGGCCTCTAAAGCTTAAAATAGAAAAAAAAACATTTACATCTTCTTCTACTGAACGAATTGGTTTTCATGTACCAACTCTTCATTTTTTCTGTTCAGTTCATACATTTGTATCTACTTTTCTCGAATCTTGCCAAACTTTAACTTTTAATTTAAGTTCTTAATATTTCCACGGGAAGATGAAATTAGCGTATTATTACATGCATATCTAATTTTATTGCATTCGTTTATATAGATATTATCTAAAATCCTAAATACATAAATATTACGAATACAGTGTGGTTATTTCAGGAAAAGATAGTTCTGTGTCCGCGTAAAAAAATTGACGAATAAGATCGAATAAGATGCCAGATCAGTCATTTATCTCATATAGTAGGAAAATTATTACTTGAATCTTGAATATTTTGGCACATCTGGAGGCATGCAGCTTTAAATTACAAGTTCGCATCCACATAAGAAATATCATTTTCTTGTTCAAAATATAATCAAAACTTCATATTAAAGTTTTAGACGCGCGAAACCCGAAATGCTGCAGTTTTTAGTCGTGATGGTAATCTTGTCGAAAATAATCATTTTAAAGATTAGTGTTTGATTTTTTTTGAAGATCTAAGTATTTTTCTCATGCAGTTTATTGATTGTTTTTCTTGTACGTCATTTATAAAAAAAAATGTTTCAATAGAATTATCCTTTAGTTATTCTTTAACACGGTTCTATTTGTTATGGCTCAAAATTAATGAAGGTCATCCGCTTTTTAAGGAAAATATTTTGTCACATGGTTGTCATAAGGTCTAAGCAGGGCAGATTGAGCCAGCACAAGTGGGGCAGGTTGAGCCACTGACACAACCTGTCCCGTTCACGTATACTTAAATTTGTACTATATATCTCTGTTCTCTGGTTGGCTACAAGTTAAACATATAGTGAAATATCGTTAAGCAGGAAACAGTGTATTTTAAAATAACCTCTTTTATGTCAGTACTGGTGGTACTTGTGTACAAGCACACACCTGTGAGGGATCCTGATCTCTTTATGTATAAAATGCTTTCACTCGGTGCCAACAATATCTAAAACTTGAATGAGACGAATGTAGCCTAGGTGTTCAAATAACGGACAACATTTTCTCGGTAAAAGACTTTTCAAAATCCGTTGCAAATTTATACTAAGACAAGGGCAATAACTCTAGGAAAACTTAATTAATCCACAAGCGAGATCAACATTCCTGTAAAGTTTGTTGATTCTAGCTAAAGCACATTTAGAGCTTCAAGGACCAGTCCTTGGAGGGCTGATATTATTACGAAAACCTGCCAATTGTTCGGCGCGTCGATCCCTCAATCGTTCATGAATGATAATGTAAACTGTAGTGTTTTTTTTATGTAACATGCGTTTATTCGTTTATATATAATTGTTATAACATTTCTTTCATTTCAATAAAAAGAACAGAAAAAAAGATATGTATAGAGAATATTCAAGCTTTTTCTATAAATACAGGATTTATTTTTATCGAGTGGTATGCAAGTAAAATAAGCTAATTTTCATATCACAAGATCAAAACAAATCGATCCTGTATATATTAATAGAAACAAATGAATTTTCTGTTTATTATATACTTTTTCTCTTTTTGACCTTACAATTCTTAAAACTTCTTTTAATTACTTTGTGTATGGGCTGAATTAAGAAGAAAGTAGTCATGCAAGACACCAGTGAAAATGGGGAAAATATGTTTCACTGCAGAGAAAAATATTTTTTTACAGTCAGTCAGTGAAAATAGGGAAAATGAAAATACGCATATTATTTCATCAGTATTTCTCAATATTTCATGTATAAATTAATAACAAACAGATGTATTTAGTTATTAAATATTCATGTATATGTTGTTGATTTTTTTTATGAAATGAAAGAAATGTTATCACATTATCACATTCATATAAAATATTATAATATTATAATAATATCAAGAACAAAGGCATATAAGTTCGTGTTGTATAATCAAGCCGGAAAACATCAGTAGAAACGAAGTTAAGCTCTGAGCTTCTTTGGCCTTTTTTTTTGGGGGGGGGGGGGGGGGGGGGGGGGGGGTCTTGTTTTTTTTGCTTTTCTTTACTCCTTCATGACTTTTACCATTTTTTGTGAATAGTTGATTTCATTGCATTATTTTATAATTAGATGCACGTATTTTGAGTATTTATTTTCATCCAATTTTTTTTGTATTTAATCATAAAAAAAGCTAGTTAAACTCAGTCAAATTCAATTTAGAATCAGATTATAGGCTAGCTAATTTGATATATAGTTCTATACTAAACGAATGCTGAATAGTAATTGTGTCCCATTTATATTTGGTCCCAGATTTTTTATTATGAAGGTGAGATTATTTTCTGATTATTTATTAGATCTATTAGATCCATATAATATATATTTATTATTATATCATTAAGTGTGTTAATTACATTACAGTAATATTATACCCCGTATGATATAAGCAAAGATATAAATATTTAAATACATGAACTTTAATAACGTTTCTGAAAATAAGCTTTAATTAGCCTTGTTGGCAATGCTATGGACAAGGGTATGCTAGTATCTACTAAATTTCATAATTATATATTTGTTGCATTTTTGTGTGTTGTTTTTACATGTTGATATGCTTAAGAAATAACATCGGCCTGAGAGGTGTATATCGGCTATTTAACACAGGTTTGGAGTTTTGATGCGTAGGAATTGACCACGAAGGCCGTAGGCCTGAGTGGTTAATTTTGTCGCATCAAAACGACAAAACCGGTGTTAAATAGCCGATATACACCTCTCAGGCCGATGTTATTTCGATTCTAACACGATAAAATAAGGAAAATCACTAAACTTATTTTACAAGCGGAAATAACTTCCGGTGCCGATTTTCGTATAACGCTGTTCGATTTTCGCACCCTACTGTTGCGAAGATATAGAAATTATCAAACAATAGAAATAAAAAGAAAAAAGAAGTTATTTTATCAAGTTTTCAACAATAAAAACTTACGTCGTATCGTGTTTACATCAGTGCCCCATTTATCATTCTTGTATGTATGAAATAACGTCAGCTTGTTTATGAACGAGTTGTTTACTTAGGATGACGTCATTTACGCTGCTTACGGATTGGCGCCGTTTTGTCAAAGTATTTATTAACTGATATGGATCTAATATGTGGCGTTAGAGTATGTGAGATATTATTTCAGTATTGTATGAAAAGAAAACAATATAAGAACTGAAAATATAAATAAAAATGCTTTTTATTGTGGCTTTAAAATGCTTTGTAAACTATACAATCGAGGGTGAAAACATAACAGCGCATATACAAGTAGTCCCTAACCGGTGTCAGAGACATAGATAACATCTATTATCTATGTCTCTGCCGGTGTTTATTGTCAGTTTAACACCAGTTTTTTTCCTTCTTTGTCTATAGTGACAAAATCACGTGAGTGTTAGAATGCTAAATATAGCCTACCAGATATTGATATCTGCTTTTCCCTACAAATGTGTGTAGATGAGAACACCTGTGGTTCTGCCAGTCCGTATCCAAGAACACAATTACATCACATTCATGTATATAAAGTAATAAATAAATCCCTATTAACCACCTGCCTTGGAAAACACCTTCGCAGATAATAGATACCAGCTTCTCGCGCCAATTTTGACCGGAAGTAAGAGATCACGTGACAAAAACAGAACCCGCATGAAAGCTTTCGAAGGAACACGATGTCAGCAAAACAAATTGCAGCGTTGCAAGAAGAACGAGCTAAATTAAAGTTGTGCTCTGGTATACCAACAAAAGTAAACCACGCTCAAATGGTAAGAGGGTGATAAATACATTGCAGAACGATTTGTTCAGCTTTTAATTGTTTGAAAGAGTTGTCCGCTTGGACTAAAGTTGTCCCCCTTGATCAATCATCCTGAAATCTGCTACGTTTTTTTTGTCAGAGTATTTTGAGTCTGGTTTGTAGCATTTAATATCATATTCTCAAATTAAGTGTATTTTCTTAACGAAACATGCATCCAACTATTTTGCTGCTTTCTTCAACTGGTTCCATGGAAATGTGACAATTTAACAATGTTCTTTACCCATTTACCATTAATGAAGTTGTTTTAGTTTTGGTTTTGTTTTGGAAGTGTTGGGGGGGGGGGGGGCAATGGGGGGGAGGAATCAAACAAATGTAAATCCTCAACAAATTACCAAGAAATTTCTTTCAGGTGTCACTGTCGTTGCACCTCAAGAGTATGCAAACACCATGGACCAGTGTTTGTGGCATAAACATATCAAATTACGCGCTAAAATTGCCAGGGCTGATAAGTCTCTTGGACGTAACATTTTTTTTCTGTGTTAACTGGTTTATTCTCTTAAAGTTTTTGCTCTGATTGAAAACAGATTTTTCATTCGTTTTAAATAAATTTTGTATTGTACTTTAAGAACTTGACTGTCCCCATATTTTGATTTGTTCTCTTCTCATTTATTGACCTTATCGAAAACCTAGCTAAACACTGTTTTCCGGTACGTTGTGGATTTAGCTCTGGGAATTACACCAAATGAAGTACATAACACAGTTGCACGATATTTCTATTTTTCTATCATTATTTTACCGTTTAAGGTGAAAAAAATTTATGTATTTGAAAATTATCAATATTCCTTTAATATCTATTGCAAATTTTTAAAAAAATAAATTGTCTATAATAAAAATCAGTAAAATTAAAACAGACGTAGTGGAATCTTCCATAATATATAAGGTTATTTTCTGCGTAAACTTGTTTATTTATTTTATTTTTTGTATGGAATTATTCATACAATAATATTTAATTATTTTCTTATAAAGAAATAACTGTTTTTATTTCAATTTAATTTAACAAAAGCCGAAAACATCGAGTTCGCTATTACACTCCATTAGGTTAATTCTCCAGAGCTATGTACAGAAAGTACCGGAAAACGGCGTTTAGCTAGGTTTTCGAATTCGTGAATAAGCAATGCAGATTAATTTTCCAAACTTAAAGACGTTTTTGGTAGTTTTTTGTGCGCATCTTTATGCGCATCCAAGAAAGATAATCACGGATAATTACTCTTCAAAAAGAAGGTCAAGTTTAATAGTACTCGGATAACTGTTAAATTTCGGCCACAAGCAAATAATGAGTAAATAATACAAACTAGATATTTCTAAATGTTCAGGAGGAGATCGATTCAAAAGAATAAGAGAAAGTTTAGACAACATCAGATAAAGGATTTCTCCTAGCATTAGTACGACAGCATTGATGATGATTCTGCGCGCGTTACCCCACCCACTTGTGGTATAATGACGAAAGTGCGTTGCCACTTGATTACTGGCAGACAAGTGGACAAAGAAGTTTAAAATGATATATACGTACCTGATCCACCATACAATTTTACTTGATTTATCAAAAATGTAGAAAATTCTATAAAAGAAATTTCTTGAAAGCTTGAATTATTTACAGAATTCATGTTTATTTTTCTCATTTTTTGTTCAGTTAAAAAGCATGAAAAACTCATTTTTTAAAGAATTATGTTCAGATTATCGTTTGTTTTATACAGAACCCTTAGATAAAGCAAGTTTTGTTTGAAAATATGTTTATTGTGTGTGTAATAAGCTGTTTTGTACATTTTTATAACACAGTTTGGCTATTTTGACAGTTTTGAGATATACGGTTACCATGGAAACTACCATTTTTCAAAAAATCTAACACGCCAACATATATTTTTCTTTTAATTTTTGAATTTGTCATTAAATTTTACACAAAATACAAAAAAAAATAGAAAATCCTATGAAACAAATTTTTCAATATCTTTAATTATTCGCAGAATTCATGTTTATTTTTCTCATTTTTTGTTCAGTTAAGGAGCACGGAAAACTCGTTTTTTTAAGAAATATGTTTAGCTTATCATTTGTTTCATACAGAATCATTTGATAAGGTTATCTTTGCATAAAACATTGCTTGTTGTGTGTATTAAGCTATCTTATACATTTTCTATTTGTTATAACACACTTTGGCTAATTTAACAGTTTTTAGATATATGGTTACCATGGAAACTGCCATTTTACAAGAAATCCAACACGTCAACATATATTCTTCTTTTTAGTTTTGAATTCGCCATTAAATTTTACTTATCATACAAAAAATTAAGAAAATTCTATGAAAGGATTAAATTTTCATAAAACTGTAGAAAATGTCTTTAAACCAGGAGCAATTGCTCGGCCGCGTTTTGGGCCAACCTATCAATTGTGTCTGCCAACATTGATGGTCGCTATCGTCAATATGTTTAGACATAACAGACTGTTCCTTTGTAAAGTATAAAGTAGGAAAATGTTACCTTTGAAAAGGTAAAATACATATGGAAATATGTACAATAAATATAAAAGTATTTAAATAAACCCTTATCAATTGCTTAAACAGGATGTCCGTTTGACCCTTGAAATGAATCTTTGACCCTTCAAATTTCCAAAAGGCTTGATTTGACCCAAAATGACCCTCAGAATTTCATGGCTAGTGAACACCCTGTTAAATCAATGTTAGATATGAAGTAAATTTAAGTAATCAGCAGTCTCTTTTCCACATTCTTTTGAGATCGAAGACTGTTGAATAACATAGACCATCGATTTGCAGGCTCTTCAACATGATGAATTTAATGTGAATGCTAATGTTTTAGTTAATTTACCTTCAGCCCTTAAATATTATTCAAGAGCACAAAGCTGTCAAATTATAGGTAAAGCACACAAATTTGATAGTTTGAAGTTATGCAAACATTGACATTTCTGTAATTGAGGACTTGTCCCATTTGAATTGGAACATAACAGATCTATTAGCAGTGAGTACTAAGTACTCGATAAAGTTAGGGATAATCTCTAAGGCCATAGAAAATTAATCTTTAGACTCTCATCCAGGTTCAAGAAATAATTGGGGCGGGTGGGCGGAATTTATAATTTATAATTTATTTTATCCAGCACTTTTAAGACCTGAAAAAAAACCAGAAATGTATGAATATATTGATGAACGTCGCATCATTTCCACCCAGATTTTGATCAAAACTAAACCCAAACCAATCACAAACAGTTTTCTTGTTTACTGCATCATATATTTCACATATGACAAACATTTTGACAATTTTACTGATCGAAAACGACCGTATTTAAAATCTTGATCACTAGACGCTGTAAACCTCAGTCTGATTTTTATGTGTTCATCCCGCGAATATTCAACCACGATTTTCGGACGAATTTTCGTCCACAGACGTCTACGAAATGCAGGGTTCTCGCTGTCGATCGCCAATGGCGTCAAATGCGACAAAATATTAATTCTGGCGCATAAAATCTTTAATTTGCGAATTTAACTTGCGCCAACGTAAGATAAAAGCATCCGACAACTAGTACACTTAAATGTCATAAGCGGCCGCGTCAATTATATAAGCGGCCCAAATGTGAAAGGTCACGCACTATTTGTTTGTTTACCAAACTGTGTAATCGGGTACCGTATAATCAATTATATCATCAATTGTGTGACACTTCGGGAACATGTGAAGATGAAACTAATTTTGACCCATAGGGAACCCTGGAAATGAACAATTTTTTTTTTTTTATGAAAATAAATTATTTTGGGGCGGAACGATTTTGATACGGGCGGGCGGGGATGAGAGTCTAAAGATTAATTTTCTGTGGCCTAACACTGATCGACTATTTATACAAAAAATTCTTCATATCCTGATATAGCTACAGCAGTGCCATTCGGAGAACTAGACCCTGTGTTCACAAAGATTTAAGAAATCTACAAGGGTTGTTTAAATTATACCACAGGGGTTAAAATTGTCCCCCCTCCAAGGGGTTCATGGGCTTTCACATTGGTCACATTTTTGCCTCATCATCAAACTTGGTATTTAGCTCACCTGAGCTACCTCAATGATCATTGAATGTGCGTCGTCTGTCCACATTTGTTCATTAACACTAGTGGTCACATTTTTTGCCTCAATCATCATCAAACTTTGTCAGGGTGCTTGTCTAGGTAATTGGTCGAATGAGTTCGAACGTCGGTCTTATCGGATGAAAATCTAGGTCACAGGAGCTAAAAATAGAAAAATCTTGTTAGCACTCTAGTGGCTACTGTTTTGATCATAATATCTTGAAAATTTGTCAGAAAGGTTGATTTGGTGATTTCTAGGCCAAGTTCAAAAATGGGTCATCTGGGGTCAAAAACTAGGTCACAAAGCCCAAATATGAAAAGAACTTGTTAACACTCTAGGGGCTACTGTTTGGATTCAAACATTCTGGAAATTGGTCAGAAAATTTGTTTTAATGATTTCTAGGTCTAGTTATAATATGGGTCATCTGGGGTCAAAAACTATGTGTACGTCGCACAGCCCAAGTATGGAAAACCTAGTTAACAAAAAACTCATGGTTACAAGTTTTCAGGCATATGCCTAAAGCTCGGGTTATTTTGTGACAAATTTCATCATGTTTTACTTTTAGATTATGTACGAAAATGATTTTAAATTATAGTTTTCAGGTTTTTCCAAATTTTCAACTTGCACCCATGCACTCTAGAGGCTACTGTTTTGATCAAAATATCCTGAAATTTGGTTAAAAAAGATGGTGATTTCTAGAATATGGGTTAGCTGTGGTCAAAAACTAGGCCACACAGCCCAGATAGGAAAAACCTTGATAACACTAGAGGCTAATGGTTTGATTCAAATATCCTGGAAATTGGAAAGATTGTTTTGATGATTTCTCAGTCAAGTTTGAATATGGGTTACCTGGGGTCAAAAATTAGGTCACACAGCCCGAATATGGAAGAAAAAATTG